AGGGGAGTGGAGGGGGCGGCGCGAGGGCGGGTCGGCCACGCGCTCCGCCCGGCACGTGGCACAGCGCTGCCTTCCCGCCAGAAGCCGAGCGAGCAACGGCCAGGCGGCGCACGTTGGCGCGGAGTTGGGGCTCGCGGGAAGGGGTCTGTTCGCCGCTGCCATAAATCCAGCGTCCGATTTACACTTGTATACCTACAAATCGTAATGATCGAGAGTTATGATTATTCGATATTTTGGGAATTCTGATTTGTAGTTTCCGCACCAATGCTACGACTTCGAAGATCGGCCACGTTCAAAATCAAGAGGTAAAGCAACTCCGTAACACTATAGAGGGGATTAAAGCCGCTTCTTATCATATGATATATCAGTACTCCTCAAGATTTCTGCTTAATTTTGCTAAACATGCGAGACGAACTAAAATACATGTAATACCACATCAAACTTCACGCGCCATGAATACCACATGTTCTAGATTTATTTCCCTATCTGAATTTTGGAGACCAAGTACCGAGTTTACTATAGCAGGGCAATAAGATGATCAAAATAACGTATAATAATATTATACCATTATTTATAAGATGCGCTAATTTACGTTTGCTTCCCATGTCAAAATCCAAAAATAAAACACTCGGGTGTTACGTGGATTCAAGTCCACAACCTTGGCGAAAACTGTCGTTGATATCACTTTCTCTCCGAAAACATCGGGATGGAAGACAACCTACGTTGTTCGAGATGGGGCTTAGATAGGAGCAGCGAGAAAGAAAAGTCAACCTACTATGTTAAACAAGTTACACTCCGAGAGGAATAGCATTACCGCTGGAACGCGTAAAACCTTTCACTGCATATGCACTGAAATTTTTGTTGACACATATACTCCCTGCTTAACCATCAATTGTCGGCACGTCGGGAAAACTTCCCGTCCTAAGTTCGTTCGTTTGTTCGCGCGCGCCTGTCGTTCGTTCGTTCGTTCGTTCGTTCGTTCGTACGTTCGTTTGTCGTGAGTTCCGTTCTTGTGGCAGGTGATGTCTTTCGATCACGATTGCGTAGCAAGCATAGGACAGCAATCACGTGGCACCAGTCGGCCGTTCCATAGCCCAATTACTCTCGCATCCGCCCACTAACCCTCGCCAAATCGCTGACGGAGAGAGACTTGGAAGAAGCCGCTTCCCCTGCACCTCAAGACGCAAGCTTCGTTCTCAAGGGATTTTACTGCCCAGTGCATAACAGCAGCTGGCGACCAGTAGAAGCATCTCGAAGTATGCATGTATATATGCCTCTTTACGTATGCATCTTCCTGTTTCCAGGAGGCACGACAGCTTGGGAGCGATGGTTGCGACCAAGAATCAGTTTTTAGGTGGTCGATAACGACACACTTTCTACCGGCTGCGGCCGGCAGGCCCTCAAGGTGCGATCACCATGATACGTACAAAGCCGCCCCCCCACTTAATCACCAGCTATCGCTCGCTGATTCTTGCACTCGATACGTTCCACGTGAAACTTCTGATAGTGATACATCGACGTTTCTAAACATAGCTGCTACAAATTAAAACATCGATGTTAATAAAACGTGGACCCAAAACCATCGACGTAATTAAACATCGATGTATTGAAAACTGAATACATAACCACTGAAGGTAAGTGCAGGGATTTGATTTGAAAGTGGTATAGTTTTTTTAATTTTTAATTGAGATTTATCTAAAAAACCAAAGTCGAAAAAATTAGGATAATTAATAAAACTTTCCTATTCGACGATTCAAACAAATATAGGCTTTTATATTGATGAAAACTCTGTTTTATTTATTTTTCACTCTTGGTCACTACCGTTAAGAATATTCAAATTATGAATAACTGAAAATTATTATAGAATTTCGTTATGAAGGTACTTCATTTAAAAAATATCAACCATCGAACACAAAAATGATATTACAATCATCGGTTTAAAAAATCGATGATAAATACATCGATGATTTTATAAAAACATCGACTCTGAGGTCGCATCCCCACCTTATGATCGTGATCCATTAGCCAAAATCGATTTTTCCAGAATCAGCGCAGTGGGTGGACACGTGGCCTCAACTAGGAAGCATCAGCTGTGGCCCGACCCGGAGATCCGTATTGAGTGACACCCTCACACACCGAGCTCACACTGCAACCGGCGGCAGTGAAGGCACCAACAGAATGGCGCTGGACAAACATTACTTACGTAGTCTTACACTAACATGCACTACACAACCACACATGCCGGGAAACTGGTCGGGAGCTTAGAGTTTGTCCAGGCTGGAGCGGTGACCCTCTGCTGGAAGATACCTGGTTGGGGAAAACCCCGCTAGCCGGCCGTCGCCGGATCTCGCCATCCACCGGGGGAAGACCACCGCCACCTGATGATGAAAACGCATGCACTACCCGTACGGGACTAATGACCTTAGCAATTGACGCTCCCGTAATCACTTTTTTAAAGTTTATTTACGTTTTCGACGAGATTACAAAGTTCAGTTACCGTCAACTTTACAACCCGGAGTCACACCAAACAATGAAGCCTTTCGGCCGAGCTTGCACCCTCGCGATGCGCTCTCTTCCGTCCGCGCGGCAGAGGCATCGCGGGT